ACATTACCCAAATGAGGAAATATTTTATAAAAATTAACAGAAACTTAATATTGTCATAAGCAATTTCGAGTTTTACTTATATATTGTGATTTAGCAATTAGAACCGAAAAAAAATTTATATTATTTGATTCGTCTCAGTAAGACGAATCAAATGATACCAAAATTATTCGATTCTGATCAATGTATCACGAGTTATCGTCAAAAAACAAGAGTGCGTCACAATACCCACCTGCGTCATAATACCCTACCCTCCCTTACATAATCCTGAAAATGACAAACTTTTTTTAACTTACTAGCTAACTAAATTATGGCACGAGAATTATCTCATTATTATGTCATATGGTTTAGTAATTACCTAATTTGTACCGTATTTATCTGATTTTTTTTTTTTTGCAAATCGCGATTCAAAAAGTAGGCGCGGTAATAAAAAAAAAAGATATATAAGAACCACATTTTCACCTTGCTGTATTTTTATTCTTACTACATATTTATCATCTCACTTATTAAAAACACAAGTTCTTGCTTATAGAACTATTATTCAACACGTACTGTATTAAATAAACTGTTTGTTTATTTTTTCTGTAAAACACTTTAACATCACAGTTGTATTACAACCATTAGAGATCGAATGCGGCTTATTAATATTATAAATTCATCACAAATAGTTTGGGTTATGTCATTAGTGAGTTATACATATATTTATATAAAACAATATATATTAAAAAAATAAAAGAATACCAGCATCATCTTCTTTTACAAGTCAATAATAAAACCGAATGTGATTATGGTAGTATTGATATGGATAGCCATAGAGTTTGAATAAAACTATTAAACGGCAAAGTAAGTAACATAATTAACTCGTCTAATTTTTTAAATAATGTAAAATATTCAATTTTTTTTTTTTAATAGATTAACGCCATGGACGTGACTTTAGAAATTGGTTGATTATGACAGTTATTTACATAATTCTCAATGTGAGAAATGAACACTTTGAAGATGGCAAAATAGAAAAATGCTCTTAAAAACGAAACTATTATCTAGAAAACACCCTAACTTTTTTTATTTCATATAAAAGAAATTTTCAAGGTGCAAAAATGCCTCTTTACGAATATTGCTTGTAAAATAAACTTTTGTGAGAATAAGATTCATAAGTTCAATGTTACAGTCTTCATTAGAAGATTCAAAGGTAAAAAAAAAAATTATTGCTAATTATTTTATATTTATTATATTTTTTAAGAAAATTGTATTTTTTTACAGATCCAACTTAAAAGAAAATTCATAGAATACTAGAACGATATTTATACTAGTTATTTTGAAGAAAAATGCTTAAAAAAAAGCTATAATGAATTAGAATAATTAATTTTTTTCAAAATATTTATTTAAAAAATTTTAACGGAATGTAATAAAATATTAGCGGCATGTATTTTGACACCTTTGTAAACTTAGTAACATAATTTAGAAAACGTTAGAAATCATCTGTACTAATGCACTTAAGGCATATTTCGATGCACTATCTTATTGTAATGAATCAATCACTTGTGTACATTTAATGAGTCTTTCGATTGAATAGAGAAACAATATTTAAAGTATATAATAATAAAATAGTTTTTAATTTTAAAAAACAATATGCCTCAAATCGGTCGTTAGTTTGTGTCTTAAACTATCGAGACTATATAGCAATAAGTAATCAAAAAATAATAATAGTAATAATACTCGTTCCAAATAAAATCATTGCTTGACGCTCTTATGAAGCCCTCAAGTACACATAAAAATCTAAAGTTTAAATATGGGATTCTACATAGGTTGTAGTAATTAAAGTCGAAAAACATTGAAAAGATAAATATTATTAAAAATAAAAATTATAATCGTTGTACACAAATTCGGTCTCAAACAAGTTATTCACCGATTGAAAGCTCATCCTAAACAGCTTTACAATGTTTCTATAAAGCTGAAACTATATATCCAACGAATTGGAATCACTAGACGTTAACAAATATTCAGTCCTTAATATTATTCTATTTGGCACTTTTATTTCTTCAAGAAATGCTACGACACATCAAACTTGATGCAACTATTGCATACGACCTAAAAGTAATTCCAACAACATGAACATTATTATAGAACAAATTGTAAAACTAGAAACTGTTTATGTCATAAAAATAGTATGGTAATAAAACATATCGATATAACATTGTTATAAATATTAAAATTAATGTTTTTTTTGTCTTTAATATACCGATCATGATGATATATCAAATTACAAATCCAAAATGACTTATTTCACTTCTGAACTAACATGAATTCCAAAACGACGTATAATATATGAATCTTAAGGTCGTATTATTAATATCATCCAATAAGAATGATTAAACTATGTTCTTCAAGAATAAAATGTTTTAGGCATGACAAAACAACTTATTTTGATTATTTTAGAATAAAATGCTAGATGACAAAACACTTATTTGGATTATTTTAATCATTGTAATATTAAAGTCTGAAGGCAAAGATTTATATTCCTACTTCGTATTTTATTTCCGTATTATTATGGTTTGCGAAATTTGTGAAGGTTACGTATCAATGTCTCGATAGTCATTTCTTTGACAGGTCATATAACCACATCACGCAACTCATAAAATGTTGAATTATCACTCTGCATGATGTAAGTTAGATGGCTTGCCGGGGAAAATGACTATCGAAGATTTGAACGATACTGTTGTTGTTCATGTAGTTCTTAGGAGCAAGACTCAATGTATTCTTGCTGAGGGCTAACTTATGAACTCTAGAATTTGGATTTTTCATGTTTTAATCGGTTTTATAATATATGAAAAATATAAAACGGATCCAAAATCTAGTCGAATGAACTGAACCTAATAAATTTTGCCCAAAATCTTGCTATCGCTTTGGTGCAAATTATGTGAAGACTTCCAAAACTGTAATTCCTTGATGAATATTCGGAATTCTTAAAAAAATAAAAAAACCATTACCTTGTAGAATTGGTTAAGATATATAAAGTAATGTATTACTTTTATTATTTTATTGGCTGTTCCCTCACTACTAGCAC